GAGCCCATTCACAACTTCAGAAAATGCTCAGTTAGCTGGCAACGGTGGTCAAAAAAACAAAGATGGCTGTGCTTAACAGAGTCAACACGGCACTTTCGCTTAGCGCTGTGCTGAAGTTCTTTAATTGTGGCGTCGGATGTTGCTTCATCAAAAGCAAAAAGGTGCTGGCTGCGGACCTCCTCATCCTGATCGGTATAAATGATTTTACTTGCCAGGCAGCGGAAATCATGGTGCTGTGCCCGCAAACAGGATGCCTTTTCAGCAAACCGCATCATATTTACTTCAAGTAGAATAACCTGTCTAGCGAACTAGAAGTTGAAGAAGGCAACTGCTCATGTGTAGTGGATTCCTCGAAAATGTCCTAACACTTTTGCGCTGCGTTGCTGCACTGCTACAGGCGAGGCCTTAACACTTCTTGAGGTAACTACGCTGCAACTCGTGCTGCCGACTGCATGTATCCCATTGAGTTCTGTTGTCACCCCGCCACAGTGGTCTAGTGGCTGAAGATATAATCGCGGCTGCGGCGGTTGCATTGTTGATGGAGGCGAAAATACAGTAAAACCTCATTAATTCAAACTCGGTTATTTCGAAATCCCACTTAATTCGAAAGGTTTCCATGATCCTGTATTTTGAAATGTAAGTGTGAGTGGGTAATTTGAAGCGGCAGCTAGCACCAGTCCAGTTAATTCGAAAACTTTGGGTGTCATGTGCGAGTTTGATCCCGATTTCACCGTGAATACGTGAAATGATGGCTATTCATAGCCACAAGGCAATGCAACGTATCAATACTTACGAGTGGCAGCTAAAGCACCCCAGCTTCGCTACTGTCATGAGCCGTGCTTTACTGCGATGCAGCGGTGACACGCGGGCAGCCTATTGCATGTTTCTCGCAATGTCATTGGGTCATGGTTTGCCCATTCTGACTGGGATTGTAAAGAAATTAATAAAAAACAGTTTAGCGGAAATCGCGATGTATGCGAACCTCCCATTGTTCCAGCAATGCGCGTCTTTGCACTGCTGGCGGAGTTCTTGCCAGCAACACCTACTTCGAAAACTAAATTTGAAAGTTTCAAAGATGTTTTTTCCAGCCAAAACACATCGTGAGCTTCATCATACTGGCCATTATTATAGTCATAATTATATTAGAAAGAAGTTGCGAATGGTCGCATCATGACGTGCTAACAAAGCGAGGAGCAGGCGACAACATGCTACCCGCATGTCACTACTGTGTTGCAGTGAAGATGTTTTGTTTTCTGCAGGCGCACATTTCAGTCGATTGCAACCGCATTTTATTTATTTATTTTTGTTACCGGTGGCAGCGAGGCTCACTGTTCCTCCATGTTTGCGGCAAAATAAAGACCAGGTATTGCTGGACAACATTACCTTTGGAGCCGCAAGCTAGCCGGCACAGCAAGTGACGAGTACTGATTACTTTGAATAGCTACAAGTTCCTTGCATCCCACTTCCTGTATGTTCTGTTAATTCGAAAACCCACTTAATTTGAAGCTTTCTAGTGGCCCCAGTGACTTCAAATTAACAAGGTTTTACTGTACTGTAGGCCTGTGTGCTCATATTTGGGTGCACGATAAAGAACCCCAGGTGGTCGTAATTTACGGAGCCCTCCACTACGGCGTCTCTCATAATCATATGGTGGTTTTGGGACGTTAATCCCCACATATCAATCAACGGAGTTCTGTTGCCCCGCCAAGGCTAAATATTCACTTTATGCCATTCACTTTATTATAGAACAGAGCTATTCCTAGGCCAGTGTATAAGCACTTGCTTATATAAACGAAACTATACTCCGTGCTCAAAGAAGCCCGAATAATAATAAAATTGCACACATTCTAAATAATGGTGTACTCATTGAGGATAATTAAGTTGCCATGAGCGAATTGATTAGAACAAACTACCGTAGTGTCCGTCACCTTCTTTTCAATGTGTCAATGTGTAAGTTTCAAATTCGCACTATACTCCATAGCGTCTCATCTGCATCCTCTGGGAAGTGACGGAACAATACATTGCCATCTTTTCATCATAATGCCATGCATCACGGCACACTTCGATGGTCTTTGGACGTCGCTTTGTTCTTTTTCGGGCTCGCATCCGCAGCATTGCGAAAATATAGGAACTATGCAGCCGCTTCTCAACGCGCGCAACGTGGTAACATATCTCCTCTCAAAGTTGATCCTGTTAGCTCCACTTTCAGGCGTGGTCGCTAGGTGGCGAAAGCTTAGCTGGAGTCGGGAATAATGGCTCAGAGCTATAGAAAAAGTTTGTCCAAAAAGAACACATTGTCATCGTACAAGCAAGAACTATGCAACCTAATGTAAAACTAATTATATATTTGAAATCAGCATAAAGGTTTATATATACAGGAAGGATTTAATTGCCTTGGACTGCACATAAAGGCTTTTTTTTTTTTTTTCGAGTACAGTCGAACTCCACTACAACAAACGCTTCAACAAAATTTCTGCAACAATGAAAAAATCACGATTCCCTGTCAGCAGTCCATCGGAGTTAATGCATAAATATTGTCGCCACAACAAACACTTTTTGTTCGATCGTCCAGCTTCAACGAAATTTTACGGTGCAATTGCAGGTTCAGATACTTATTTCTATGCATAAACCCAATCTTTAACATTTCGATGCATATTCATAGCCTGAAAATGCGTCTACGAAGTCTAAAACGCGTGTTGGCACCACCAGAAACTGCCGCTGTACTGCCGCTGTTCATCAAGCATGGGCGCCGCCATTGCTCGATAGCAATGGCAATGAGACTGCCCTGCTTTTGCCACTAGCTTGCTTTTGACTTTTCGAGCCACAGACGATCTGAAGCTGAACCTCAGTCGCAGTTATCTTTCACCATAGCCTCCTACATTTCCCTTGCCTGCCGGATTATCGGCAGTCACTTGGAAAGCGCCCGTCGTCAGAACTGCGGTGGTCGCGCCACTCAAGTAGGGTTGTCTCCAAAAATTTTTTACTATTTTTGAGTTTATATGCAACAAAAATAACGTAAAAAAAGTTTTAAAAAGGCGTAAACATAATTATAATTAACCCTACGTAAGTGATGCCGCTATAGATGACAGGAGTTTCACGCTCATTCAGCAAGCAATTCCTTCAAAACAAGGCATAGCCTCTGAAATTAGCAAACGCCATAATTGCTGATCTCAAAGGCCATGTACAAAAATTCTTAACCCTATGCAGGTGGCGCCATCATAGATGACGGGTGTTTCGTGCTCATCTGGCAGTCAAGAAAAATATAGGAGGCTATGCCTTCACGCTTATCATTATGCTCGCGCTTGGCCAGTGTGGTAATTAATCAGAGCGCCTGTTCGTCCGCATTATCTACAAAATCAGCTAGCCGCGAGTGATGGATTAGAATGGTATAGAATAAAGCAAAAGTCGCCGCTTCACGATACCCTGCCTTTATCTCGGCATTGTCGGATACTTTTGACAGCGGATAGCTGCTGGTGTTAACGTGTTAATGCAACTGTTTTGTTCGTTCATGAAGGTGGTTTTAGGCATTGTTTCAGCATGCTTTTCACCATGGCCTCACTATGCATGGCTAAGAATACCCTCGTGACGCTGCTGGGAAAGAATAGGAAGCAGCAGACATTTTTGAGAATGAACATTCCTTTGTTTTTCTAGCTCAAATCAGCTATATTTTTTCTAGTTCACGACAACAAAATTTTCGCTTCAACGAAATTTTTTTTCATGCCCCGTCAGTTTCGTTGTAGCGGGGTTCGACTGTAGCATCTTTCCTTAGTATACCATGTTTGCGGAAATTCTTCTTTGCTAAATTACCTAAAATATGAAAAAACACTTGAGAATTAGTGACGTCACGTCAGAGAATCAGTGACGTCATGTGCAGAGATTTCGACGCGAGATTCATAAATTAAGCTTTCACCTTGATTTTCTCTGCTATCTGTAAACCTGAATTGTAAAAAATTGACATCAGAGTTGTGAAAGTAAAAATTATCAATCTTAACTGATTCACTTTTCACTTTAGTGTCCTTTTAAAGTAAAAAGTACATTGCCGATTTAAGCGGCTTGTTATACTAATGAGATTTAGCTGTAGTATGTATGGAGTAGGCCTTTCTCTTTATGTTGCAGATTGACAGTAAACTAGATGGACCATGATGCAATGCAAGTACCAATAACAGAATTGTGAGGAATTGCGGCCTCTCAAGTACAAGTTCACTTCGTAAACAGCGATGATAGTTGCCAGCAGTGATATGGTGCCTACGAAACAGAATGCATGTAATCACCGCAATGTTATGCTGCTGTTGGTATCACCCAACAAGTTTTTTCGGGGAAGCATTAGAAGGCTGTCAGCCGCAATGAGACAGTGGAAGTGCATATAGAAAGAAGCAATGTGTGTGAAGATGTTTTTGCCAATTGAGAGGAAGTTTCCCAGGAAACCTGATTGATTTCATAATATACTATGAATGATGGCTGCACGTATATTTCAGTAACATCTGTTTGTGGATAATCATACCCTATTCAGCAATGCTGGAGTTGACTTGTAAAGGCTGAATGAAGGAGGAAGGCTCAAGAGGCTCTAATACACAGCACATATTGAACCCATGAAAAGGCGGGACGTTGTTTAAGTCAAAGGTTCATTGGCAATTGAGTGCAGTTGCAGGTGCTCACACATCTTGAAAAGTTTACAATTGAGTTTAGTGTAAGTGCTGGTCATTCTTGGCCCATACATGCCCTTCTGGTATGGTAGCACAGTACACTCTGTACACAAAGGAAACTGCTCAAGAGAACCAGTGCAAAACGGTGTCTTGTGTGTTTATAGTGTGCATTACTGTGCTGTGAGCACATCACTCAGCCATCACGAACCAAATAGCCCTATTCATTGCATCATTTCCATTTTAAATTAAGATTTTTAGTTGTGATGACAATACAGGATTTTCGTTTGCCCTGAACACTGATTGGCGCTGAACAATTGAAGCACCATTTTAGTTTGTTTGGCTTGTATTGTGTTGCAGTGTCTGAGGCTCCGGAAGTGCGTCCTCCTGCTCCACATGTTCCCAGGCTACCACAGGATGTCACTCTGGACTTTGAAGGAGACCTGACTCTCTCCAGCTCTGTCATCGAGAGCAACAGGGAGAAAGAGGAACAGGCATGTCTCTTTGCTGCCCACTTCTGCCCGTGTTTTCATTCAAATCTCAGTTTCTTCTACAGTCACTTTTTTTCGCAAAAAAAATCGATGAAAAGTTGGGGAGTTACGAGAATTAAGCGAAGAAAATTTTCCACAAAAACCTACTGAGTTTGGGATAAAAAACGTAGTTGATCCCTCTTTTTAGGAATCGGTATAACGCGAAAGTGAAACATGTCCTCGCAGAGGTAGTTGAGCATTCATTGTGCACTGTTTCATCGTAACGGCGAAGGAATGAGTGCTGCAATAACAAATTGCAATGGCATGTGAAAACGGCAAGCAGCTTGAAACGTGCAGCGCACACTTCAAGCAGACAGAAAGTACGCATGAAATGAGCATACACAGAACAAGCGCAGACAAACAAATTCCTGTGTATACACGCAGAACAAGTATACCTGTGCCTGTGAATACACAGGCACAGGTATACACAGGGCAAGTGCGAGCAACGATTGCAGTTTTTACTTCTTTGTGTGTGAGCAGCGTGCTTCTTTTGTAAATGTGGCCGCAGCAGCTAGTGAAGTGACGTTCGTGCTCTCTTTAACTACTGTAACTTGTGATGAAACTTGCGGTGAAAGCACAAGATGCCCAAAGCGCCCGAATCCCAAGACTGCGCGAGTGAGCCACCATGCTAAAGAACATTGTGGAGTCTCGGTGTAAGAACCCGCTTTCGGAGGGATTGGAAACAGTAGGCACGTTTGAAGCGAACCGAGTCTTATTTATTTAACTACTTTTAGAACGACGATGTCACCAGCCGAATTAATACATCAGAAATCAGGCCTGCCTAAGGAAAGTTTGCGAACAAGTCCCAAGCACCGGCGTGGCTCAATGGTAGAATACTGGGCTGGCACCCAATGGACCCGGTTTAGAGCCCCACTGTCATTGGTACTAGGTTTTTTTTTTTTTTTTTTTGCGCGACAGTGGTTACGGGCACCGGTGGCGGCGGACAACTATAGCGCTGTGCATGACCTGAGTTTTGATCTCATAATAGCTTTCTCTGTAAAAAATTATTTAACTAGTGCAGAAATTGAATTCACAGCAAACTAGCTTTAGCATGCGTACCTGATAAACGTTCCAGTGAGATCACTAGCTTCATGCGGGATACAACAGTCCAGTGTTCCCAATAATTTCTCAAGTATAATCACGGCGCAAAACTGAAAAACTCTGTTTCAGGTGTGTAGTTCATTTATTTATTTACTTGTTAAAAAATACATGCAGCGCCCGAGGGCATTATTGCAGGAGGGAAATACACAGCGTAACATATGCCTACATAAAAAGAACAACTATTCATAAATAAGATGAACACAAAAACAGATCATAACAGAAATGTAGCTATGAGTATAGCAGTATGTTCCTGAAGGATGCTTCAATGCGGCAGCTTGGAATCTATCGTGGAAGCCAATTCCAGTGCATGATTGTGGGCGGAAAAAAGGAGTGTTGGTAAATATTGGTTCTGCAAAAACTTTCTCTTAATTTTAGAGGGTGGTCAATTCTCTTAGATAGCCCTGCCGCGGTGGTCTAGTGGCCGAGGTACTCGGCTGCTGACCCGCAGGTCGCGGGTCAGCAGATCCCGGCTGCATTTCCCGATCAAATCCCGGCTGCAGTGGCTGCATTTCTGATAAAGGCGGAAATGTTGTAGGCCCGTGTGCTCAGATTTAGGTGCACGTTAAAGAACCCTACGTGGTCCATATTTCCGGAGGCCTCCTTTACGGCGTCTCTCATAATCATATGGTGCTTTTGGGACATTAAACCCCACATATTAATCAAATCAATCAGTTCTCTTAGATAACAAATCTTACCTTTCACTGCCCCATTTTTTATCTATTTTGATCACCTCATGAAATATTTTTAATAGCATTTCTAATCTCAAGTTTTTCCTATGTGAAACTAACAAGTCTCACCCTAACCTATCCTTAAGCGCATTGACACTGACTCTGAAGTCATAGCTGCTAGTCATAAAACCATCTGTGCAGTTTTGTACAATCTCGAGCATATTAGACAAAGTTTTTGTCTGTGGTTCTCACGCCACACAGGTGTACTGTAAGAGACAGGTCGGACATTCGAAAAGTAGAGTAGTTCTCTAATTGTGGGAGGAGCTAACTGGAAGTTCCGTCTAACAAAGTTTAACATTCTGCCAGATCTCGCTGTGACATATTCAATGGGCTTAGTCCAGGTAAGATTTGATGAGAAGTAAACACCAAATTATTTATACTCAGTTACTCATGTTAGCTTAATGGTATTTAATGTATAATGAAACAGGTATGCGTTGCGTTTATGAGTGAAGGAGGGGCACTGGCACTTCCTAGGGTTCAGGAACATGTGCCACCTATCACACCAGCGCATAATGCTGCTTAAAATTGCATTGCATGTACTGATGGTCGGTCGGAGGTGAATCTAATACAGTGGTAAAACACAAAATCATCCGCATAAAGACATACTTTGCATGAGACATTCTGAGCAATATCTTTGATGTAGACTAGAAACAGCAAAGGCCCCAAACAGATCTGTGTGGAACTCCCAAAGTAACAGCAACATATTCAGATGGGGAACCATTAATTACAACACGTTACATCCGGTCTTGCAGATAATGCCGGATCCAGTCAAGCAATGCAGGAGTAATACCGAGGGATGAGAGTTTATGTATCAGCAGAACATGGGGCACAGAATCAAACGCTTTCTGAAAGTGTAGGAATATGCAGTTCGTCTGCACACCAAGGTCAAATGAGTAAAAAAGATCATGACTGAACTTTATGAGCTGTGTTGAACAAGAAAGACCAGATTGAAATTCATGCTAAGATTCGGTAAAAAAGTTGTTACTTTCTAGATGTTTCGTCAGGACGCTGCAGACTATGTGCTCTATTGTTTCACTACTAACAGTCATTAGGGTAATCGGCCTGTAGTTGGTGACATTATTTTTTTGGCCACCCTTATGTGTCAGAACCACATTCGCGACTTTCTATTTTCTAGATAAACAAGAAGAACGCAATGATTTCTCAGATTATAACAAGGTAGCAGGGGCGTAGCTAGAAATTTTTGGGGGTGGGGGGAGGTTACACCAAACCAACTGGGGGGGGGGGGGGGAGCACAGGCATTATCGTTCTTCTGTGACGTCAATATCTGCGGCAGTTTGAGCAGATTGTGTATATAGATATCAGTCATGAAATTTCCCATTCTCCCCATGTGTATGCTTGTGAAGAAAGTAAGTAAAAGTAAAATAATCTCAGTTATATACAGTGAAGGACAGGTAGAGTGGCCGTTTGGAGCAACAACCGCTCGTCGCACCATAGAATGGACTATATAGTCTTAATCGCATCATTGTGATTACCCACCTGATTGGAGAAGACATCCTTAATCTCTGTTAGGCGTAGCTGGCGTAGTCCTTGATGTGGCGAAGTGTGTTTCACAAGTCAGACGGCTCCACTTACAATGACGAAATAGAGGTATATGCAGCATTTTTTTTTTGTAAATTCATAATTACATTTTGCTTTTGCTCACTTTGCTGAGTGAATAATTTCTTACTGTCAATGTTTGTGACTGCATGCCTTAGGGAAGGATTTTTGTTACTCTATATGTCAAGCAGCACTGATGCAGTGATAGCTTTTAGTCAACATTCCTTTATTTTTTATTTTACTGCAAGCAATCAAGCATGCTTGCGATACACAATAAGTAATTTTTTTGTAAATTATGCTGCACATTGGCAACAGAATTTCGTACGCGTTATTTTTCGGGAAGACTTTCTCGCAACCTTGAGTAACGTTATAGTTGCACTGTGAGTTGATAGCAATGTATTGCTCCAAATTAGATGTTGTATTGTGAAATGTGCAAGGGCAAGGTAGTCAGTGTTGTGAAATGTTCAATAGGTCTCAACTGAAAACTGAAAATTAACCTGAGATCAGACTTTACCTATACACATAGAAACAGCTTGTTCGTCACATATATATATATATATATATATATATATATATATATATATATATATATATATATATATATATATATATATATATATATATATATATATATATATATATATATATATATATATATATAGTGGGAGTAATAATTCAATGGGCTAATTAGTCTTCGTGAAGGTATGGGATATGGCACACCGGGAGCATTGTCAACAAGGATAAATATATTTATTTCCCAACAGTTTCGGGAGGGGTCCTCCCTTCATCAGGGGATGAGCTCATGTCAGTATAACTCATCCCCTGATGAAGGGAGGACCCCTCCCGAAACTGTTGGGAAATATATTTATCCTTGTTGACAACGCTCCCGTTGTGCCATATCCCATACCTATATATATATATATATATATATATATATATATATTGTCGCGAGCAAGAACAAGACCTGCAGCCAGGAGTTCACCCGAACCAGAGCAACGAAAACGTTCTCTTCTTCTTCGTAGCCCCAAAACGGGTATGAACCACAGCGGCTCGTTCATCAATGGTGGCATTACCCCCTCTCCCAAGAAGCATCGTCTCGATGCTGTACATGAAGGCAAAAAAAAAAAAGAAAATGAGATGAAAATTACCATGCAAGCAAAATGAATGGCGTAAGGCGGAATAACATAGTTGGTTGTGGAGCCAAGAGTTAAATGAGAAATAAGAAAAATAGGAAAGAATGTAAGGGAGAGACGAATTGGCCTCTGAAATTACAGCGTCAGACATGTCCTGTCCCAATTCTACTTCGACAAAGAGGCTGCTTCGAGGTGGGAGAGTCAGAGAATCGTCGGTAACACGAAGTGCTCTTTTCCGGAATTGTGTACTGTCAGTTGCAGCGCAAAAAGGATCCTCGAACGGCACAAGTAATTCACGGAGGTCGATGACGGCGCCGTATTCACGAAGGAAGTCCATTCCTAGAATGACTGACCGAGAGCACACGCGCAATACGAGGAAAGAGCCTGCAAATGTCGACGTACGTATACGAATGCGTGCCGTGCACATACCAGTAGGCATCACCAG